GAAACGGCCAGATTTGGCTCAAGAGCAAGAAAAAAACCCATATAAATCTTTAGCCTCTGCTAGCAGTGTGACAACCATGGTGGATCCCATTATCTACTGGGCTTTACGGAGAGGCTTAAAGCACCTCCAGCTTGGAAACTTGGGTGTGCAGCTGAGAAGAAAGGCCGGCTGGATTTGCAGGGGGGCATTGAAGAGTAAACAGCAGCTTGAGGAAAAATTCGGGTGGTGGCAAGAAGCTGAGAAATTCTTTAAGAGGCTGCAGGCACCCCCTGTTCAGATCCATCCACCCCACAACCTCCCCTGGGATGGTCCTCATCCACATGGGGTGTGGATTTGGGATGAGGACAGTGCAGCCCAGTGGGGTGCAGCCCTGGGACCCCCAGATGAGGGTCTGCAATCTACTGGATAATGTGAGATTCAGCAAACTGAGGGCTTTAGGAGAGATGAGGGATGTAGGGGGGAGGGGATCACCTGCTTGACAGGCACTGAGGATGCAGGAGGGGGGAAATAACCCTGCTCTTATTTAGAGGGGAAAGAGATGAAATATTTAAGCCTTAAATGCTTGAGGAGCTGCAGGGATGATGCTCGCGGTACCCGAGGCGAACATCGCTGGTGGCTGTGTTGCAGTGGGGTGGGTGCTGCTTTAGGACGGTGCCCCCTGCCCTGCCCAGGGTCCTGGGGATGGGTCCCAGCCCCTGGGGCTCCAAGGAGATTTAATTTCTGGGTGTCCAGGTTATGGATCTGGAGGTGTGGTAGAGCTACGGGTGTGAAATACGCCTCTGGCCCGCAGGTTTGCAGCCCTGGTGAAATATAGAGGAGGGGAAACATAAAAGTCCCATTTTCAGCTCTATAATATTTCCTGCCAAAAGAAAGTAAAATGTGCTGCCTTAAATTTTCTGCAAAATTCTTTTGAGGTTATTTTTTTTCCTTAAATTAAGCCATACTAATTATTTTCAGCCACTTTATCTCCACTCTGCAACACACCAGGAGGGTGCAGGCGGCAAGCATTTTAAGCCTCCATAAACAAAAGAGTAGTTTGGAAAATAATTCTATCAATTAATCAAATTAATCCTGCAGTTTTAGTTACAAGCCCCAAGTGGCAAGGATTCCAGCCTGCGGTTAGGAGCTATCTCTCATTGACAGCGTTTAAATGTTATGATTGCAACAGTAATTAAAGAATATAATATGCCTGGCTTTGTGTCAGCCTCCTACCTTCAGACCTCAGCGCTGTGTTGGCAAAGGTCAGCTTGAGGACAAACTGGGGATGGCCAAACTAGGCTGTCACCACCATCACCGTCACCATCACCATCACCATTACTATCACCATCACCAGTTGATGATGACCAAACTGGGCCATCACAAATTGGTAATGACTTTGCTGGGCCATCACCATCATCACCACCATCACAAACTGGTGATGACCAAACTGGGCTGTCACCACCACCATCATCACCATCTCCATCATCACCATTACAAATTGGTGATGACCAAACTGGGCCATCACCATCACCAACTGATGGTAACCAAACTGAGTCAACTCCATCACCATCACCAATTGGTGATGATCAAACTGGGTCATCTCCATCACCATCACCACTTGATGATAACAAAACTGAGTCAACTCCATCACCATGACCAGTTGTTGACAACCAAACTGGACCATCATCATCACCATCACCAATTGGCAATGACCAAACTGGGCCATCACCATCACCAATTGATGATGACCAAACTGGGCTGTCACCATAACCATCATCCCTATCACAGTCACCATTACCATCATCACAATCACCACTACCATCATGGATGATGACCAAACTGGGCCATCACCATCACCATCACCATCACCATCACCATCACCAATTGGTGATGACAAAATCAGGCTGTCATCATCACCCCCATCACCATCATCATCATCATCATCACCAATTGACGATGACCAAGCTGGGCAGTCACTGTCACCATGACCATGACCATGACCATGACCATGACCATGACCATGACCATCACCAACGTTGGTTTTTCTCACACCCGTGCTGTGATTAGGACTCAGGGAAGATGCAGCGAGGAAGAGGAGATGCATGAGCATCTTCACCATCGAGAAGCTCCATTGCTTTGCAAATGATTGCACGGTGATGGCAGTGGCTCCAACGTCCTCCCGTGGTCACAAAGGACACCATGAAGACGTACAGAGTTTCCAACCAGTTAGACATATCATCATTTTGTCAGAGGTGTGCACGGGAGGAGGGAACCATGGGGTACGGGACACAGGGAGGATCACCCCACAAACATCACGCAGACAGGAAATTTCTGTGAAAATATTGGAATATATTTGAAAAGATTAATCATGTATGATTTTACAGTACCACCCCATATTTTCATCTCATACTTTATTTAACAATATTAAAGAGGCACTTTAAAAGCACACATACAACATCATAAAACGGCGTTTCCTGCTCTCTCTCTGCTTCTCTGACAAAATATCAAAATAAAAACTTTTGACAGAACACATTGCACCCAAGGTAAATTACCTACAATTTTTTTATACAATACAAAGGATTGTAAAGATACATATTAACAGAATAAAGCCTCTTTTTTTTCCTTTTAAATCTAAAAACAAAACAAAAATAATAATTGCAGGACAGACGCAAAGTACTCTGACTGTTCATATCACATCAGTGCATTACTTCACCTCCTTGACTTGGGAGTATTTCAATAGTAATTTTAATTATCTTTCATGTCCTTGTTTGCACCTGAGATTTCTTTCCGGATTCAAAAGTTCAGTTGTATAACACGCTCATTTAACGTGACGTAACCTTTTCTACACTATGGAGTACCAGCATACAGGATTGGGGTTTTTTCTTCCCCTAAAATGGTATATTTTTAATTTGTTTTCTCCTGCTTAATTTTCTTTTCCAGGTAACGGCTACTTCCTAATGGTTCCCTTTTCATTTCTTTTTTTTTTTTTCAATCAAGGAAGTCTGTATTCACATTACAAAAGAAGAATAGCACCAGTAACTGCATAGTAAAAAGCGGATACCTATATAGCCACTAACTCAATACAGTAAGAGAGTTTAGAAGTGATACCGTTGAGGGCACTCGGACAGTGCTGGTTCGGTGCGGTAAATTGGCACAGTTTCGTCGTTGCGCATTAAAAAAAACAAACCCAAACCCACAAACATAAAGAGAACGCACGCATACACACACAAGCACACACCAAAAAAAAAAACGCCCAATAAAAATCAGTTTGTCACAAGTGTCAAGGTGCAGTTTGCTCGCGGGGGCGGCTCTCGTCTCCTCCGGTCCCATCGTCTACAGTGGTCAAAGAGCGGCAGCATCCTCTGAAGGGCTCGGGAGGCCCCAGAGTTGGTTCGTGATTCTCTTGACGATGCAGAAACAAATTCATCGGGATGGCTGTCAAAATATAGGACACTCGCTTCTTAATTTAATTTTTAAATTTTTTTTTCTAATTGTATCATCTCTTAGGCCAGCTCCCAATTAAATGAATTGTACGGGATTATTTGTGCAAAATCTTCAAATAAAAAAAAAAAAATTTGCTTTCTACAGTGTACTGCACCTTATGAATAAGACGTCTACGGAATGAAGTTCATCTCTTCAAGTACTTTGTACAAAGATAACACAGACACAGTCTCAAAAGGGTCTGAGATTTGCAAGTATCCTTATAACCTCAGCACTTCTGCAATAAAGCAATTGCTCTCGACGATTCAGTCTGCCCAAAGCGATTACAATTTCAGTTCATGAAAATCATCAGCAACATCAAAGTTCTAGCATTTGCATGATAAATCAGGTGAATTAAAGTAGATTAGTAGACACAAAGCAAACTATTTCACAGAGGCTGCAGTGCAAGTTCATTTAAGCTAGACAGAGAAATCATGCTACACAAACGAATTTAATGCTTTGATAATTTTTCCCTTGCAAACCCCATGAAAGCAGCTGAGGATCACCATAAGTCACTTCCATAAATTACTCTGAAGTATCTCTTCTTAAAGGAATTTTAAAGCTAGTTAATTTTTGCCCAAAGAGTTGGCTTAGGAGGTTGTTTTGGGACTCGGCGGTGCGGTAGCTGGCCGAGCCGGCCCCCTTGGCACCCCGGGCGGCCCGAGGGCTGTGCAAGGAGCCACGTGGGGACGGCGCTGGCCCCTTGGCCAACACTTGTTGGAGGCTCTTCCCCAAAATGGCCTTCCTGCGTTTCATGTCCCCATTGGCGTGACGGAGCTCCCCCTTCTTCTGATTATAAGTGTCCAGGACCATCTTCTTCACCTGGGTGCCAGTTTTGGGCTTGTGTACCAGTTTGTTGCAGTGCGTCTCCCTCCTCCCCGGGGAGAGGGCGGATGCTTCGGCGTTGCTCCAGCTGCTGCGTTTGAGCTCACTGGAGCTTTCGCTCCTCCCTGGGCACGGCGTCCGGGCTTTTTTCTTCTTCCCATCTCCCTCCATGTTCTCCCGGGAGCCGGAGCTGCTCCGGTGGCTCAAGGACTTGTGCTCTTTCCGCCTCTTGGGGTGCAGCTTGCTGGTGGCTTTGCTCGGCTCCATGTGGCCATGTCTCACCTCGCCTCTGGGCTGGTGGTTACTGGATTTGCTTGGGTTGACGCCTTGGTCCTTGGTGTTGGTGCTGCTGTCCTTGGCCTCGGGCATGGCTTTCTCCTTCCCAGAGATGGGCTGATGACCATCCTCAGTGCTGCCGCTGGGGGTGTCTGTGAACGGTGTAGTCTCACTGCTGGGTTGGCTACCTGCGATCTTCCTCTGCGGGGCTGAATCTCTGGGAGCCTTGCTCTGTGTGGGTGATGCCGTTTTGTCCTTCAGGGGTAGGGGGTGGTGGGCAGCTTCTGGAGACATGGCCTTAGATGCACCTTCCCAAGAAGATGCATCACTGGCACTGGGGTTGCCCCACCTGTGGGTCTCCTTGGCTGGCAGTGCCTCTGTTTGTGGGGAAGGAAGCTCTGAGACCTTGGCAAGCTGGAGAAATGGGATCCCATCCATGGCGTCAGTGGCTGCGTCGGGATTTTCCAGGACACCTGCTACATATTCGTCTTTGTTGCCTACACTTGTTCTTTTATGGGCATCGGTGTGGCCACGTTTCTCGGTGAGGTGTGGAGGAGAGAGTTTTTGCTCTGTGGCCTGGTTACAAGCCAGCCCAGCTAGGTCAATGGTAAACTCAGGTGAGTCCAAGAAAGGCAGTGGTTTCCCATCAAATGTTCCTTTCTCCAGCTCCTCCATAGACAGGGCAGCGATATGGTCGAGCTCCGGGCTGCTGGCCGCAGCCTGTGGCAAAGACGGGGAGAGGCAGGGTGGTGGAGGCAGGGCATCAAACTGGGACTTCTCCATCTCCACCAGGAGGTCGGAGAAGTCGCCCACCAGGTGTTCAGTTTTCACAGAGGGTTGGGGCAGGGGTGCTCCTGGGTCAGTGGCTGCTGTAGGGAAGGAGTCAGTGGGGGTCTGCAGGCTGGGGTTTGCAGCCTCCACCAGCTGAAGGTCACCACTGTGGTCTAGGTGGACCAGGGAGCTGCTGTGGTGAGCAACCCTCCTCTTCTTGCTGGGCGGCACGCCTTCCCGCGAAGAGCGGGCCTCCTTCCCCTTCTCCCTGCCCTCCCTGGAGGCAATGCCAGGTCTCATCACCCCTCTGAATTTGAATGTCTTGTTGCTCCCCGCCAGGTGCTTCTCCATGTGCCGGTCATACTGCTCTTTCTTGGAGAAGGTGTAGTTGCACATGCTGCAGATGAAGGACTTCTTGATGACGTGCATGACGTCGGCGCAGAGCTCGCAGGCGTACAGGGTGGTGTGCTTGATCTCCTGCTCTTCCACTATCCCATGCTCCTGACTGAGGTGGTTTCGAAGCTCTTTGGTCTCCTGGTAGAACATCGGGCACTTGTGGCACAAGTAAATCTTCTGTAAACTGTGCACGACTAAGTGCCGCTGGAGCTTGAAGGGCTTGGGAAACTGTTTCCCACAGTGATGACAGTCCCTGGAAGGATCTTTGCAGTCAGGGTGCATGGGGACAGATTTTGGGGTGCCTTCACTTCTTGCCATGTGCTCTGGAGACGGACTGGCGGATGCTTTAGAGGAGCTGGGTGCAGGTGGCTTCACCTTGACGTTGCTTTCCAAGGGCTCTTTCATTGCTCTGGCCTCCTGCTCGAGGGGCAGCTCCTTGGGGCTCTTGCTCTCTCTGCTCACCATGTGTTTGCTACTGGGGTCGGTGTGCCGGGAGGACCTGCTGGGCTTCCGATACATGATGGTGTTGAGGAAATGGGTGACAGCAGCATTGTCCTCACCGAAGCAGGCTGGCAGGCCCATCACTGACTTCTGTGCCTGCCCCTTGCGAGCGAACTGGGTGGCGTGCTCCCGGAGATGCTCGTTGTACATCCAGACATCAGAGATCTCCTTCAGGCACATCCCGCAAGCCCACAGACCGGCTTTGTTTTTGGCGTGCTTCTCCTTCAGATGGTCCCTCAGCTGCTCCCGGGAGCTGAATTTGCGCTGGACGCACATGTAGCAGGTAGGCGGAGGGGAAGGGTTATGGGAGAGCTTGTGGAAGTCCAGCTCCCCTAATGTCAGGAACCACTGGAAGCAGACTTTGCATTTGTACTGCTTGTCTTTGGCCTTGATGGTCATCTCACCGCGGTTTTTCCCCACCTTCCCATCTTCTCCTTTACCTCGGTGCTTGCTGTGCTGGCCTGGTTTCAGCTTGAGACTCCCAGCATTGTCCTCCTCATGGCCAGGAAGATCTTCGCAAGGGTCAAAGAAGCACACGTCCCTCATTTTCAGTTTTGCATTCAGCATCTCAATGTCGATGGTATGAAATTCAGGAGAGTCTGAATCTTCGTTAGCTTTGCCATCGTAAGGCTCCTCCGTCAGGTTAGGGGGCTCGGAGCTTGCTTCTCTGAGCACATGCTCATCCGCAAGGTCCATCAGAGGCTCAAACATGTCCTCAGCAGAGAGGCTTTCTCCTTCCTTCTCCAGACTCCCCCAGATGCTCAAGCTGGGGACGTTGTCCACTTGGCTGTTTTGGCACAAGAAGGGCAACATGTTGTCTTCCAGGTCGATGTCCTCCTTCTCTTGGTCGGTCTTCTCACAGTCCGACCCTGGCACAATGCTTTTAGATCCATTGGGTGCAGCATCTCCGCTCTTGGCCTTGCTGCCGTGACACATGTTTAGCATTAAGGCATCGTCGACGGAGATGGTTTCATATTCACCAGGGTCCTCCCTGGTGATGCAGAAGGAGCTGGTTTCGCTGAGGTCAGAAGATAACCGGATTGTGAAGAGGTCGATGGCACCTGTTGGCTGGAGGTTCATCTCTGTCATGGGCTTGGGTTTCTTGCTGCGCTTCCCATACACCCGTGTGCACTTTCTCCGGACAAACTGGTCATCCCGAGGAAACAGCTGGGAGAAGGTGGAGTCATCGTCAAACAAACTCTGGAGGTCCGAGACGGCTGTGCTGTCCACACAGGGCTCTCTGCCCGGTGACACATCTGCCTTCGCCCAGTGTTTCGGCTCCACAGGAGGAGGGCTGGTCCCTGGTGGAGTCTGCAGACTGCCTTGCCTAGGAGTTTTTTGGGTGGTTTCCGAATCATGTGTCTCCAGCGGCAGATCCCCTTCGGCAGGAGCTGTGGGACCCTGCAGGGCATCGCTCTGGTTCCCTGCCGCAGGACTATCTCCTGTCTCAGCATCCATCTCCTCTGCACCATCAACACCACGGTGCTGCTCTTTGCCTACCTTGCCCAATCCTTTCTCCACTTGCTTCACAAACCCACTAACCCATTTTTTGCAAGCCTGCGTGTCTTCCACTCCATTTGGATCTTCCTCTCCATTTGGATCTTCCTCTACACTTGGATCTTCCACCTCCGCAGGACAGGCGACTGTGCCCGTTACTGACTCTTTACTGATCTCCTTTGAAGACACCACCCTATCCCCCAGGTCCTCTGCGAACTCAGCTGCACAAGGGGACTCTTTGGACTTTTGAGCGTGCTGGGATGAGCTGGACTTATTTTCCTCCTCTGTGGAGATGCAAATGCCTGGCTCATGCAAGCTCTCCGTTATCTTGGGCAGACCAGAGCTGAGGACAAGAGGGGAAGGACCCACTGCCTTTTCCACCTCACATGGAACATCGGGCTCATTTCTGCTGGGAAGAACCTTTGCTTTCCTTCGTCTCACTTTCCTGTTCAGCTTCTTTTCAGAATTGCTGCTCACCTCTCCAGGATCTTTGCTTTGGCTCCTCCTGTCCTTTTCTCCCTTCCTGGCATGCCAGCTCAGGTCTATCTTCCCATGCACTGCCTCGCCTGCTTCCCTCATCTCTGAGCACGGTCCCTTGGCCTTCATGTCCCTCTGCAGAACACGTGTGCAGTGCAGCTCCTGAGACATCTCGAAGGAGATCACGCTGAGGTCGCTGAGCACTCTGCTGACCACTTCTTGCATCTGGGTGCTGGGCTCTTTTTCCAGCTCTGGGCATATTTTCCTGGAATCAATGATGGCAGTTGGCATCTGGGAGCTGCAGGTTTTCTCTTTGACCAAAGTCTTCAGGCTCCTCCTGGGCACCTTTTGGGCTGCTTTCGATGTCTTGTCTGCAGGAATCAAGGTGGACCTGGGACTCTTGCCAGGCTGTGGTGTGCTGCTGTTCTTCACCTGGTGTTTGACAGCTTTGTGCCTGGTCAGGCCAGGCTTGGACCTGAAAGAAGCTGAACAAATGTCACAGGTCACTGGGAGCCCATTCGGCTTCTTTTCTTTGTGAAGTTCATTTTGGGAAGGGTTTGGAGCACTGTCAGGTGCGTTGTTCTCCCCTTGGCCCACACTGTTTAACACACAACTCCCAGCTTCTCCAGCTCCATGGCTTTGGGATTTCTCCCCTTTTAAACTCTTCTCTCCTCTCTCTGTGGTTTTGGAAAGACCAAGTCTCACCTCTGCTGCCTCTGAAGACTTCTGGCCATTCAATTCAGCA